CCGGCACGACCGGCGGCGCCTACTTGCGCGAGGCCACAAGTACGCCCCGTTCCGGATGCGGCCGGACGGACGGAAAGCCCGCAAGCTCCTACGACCGGATGGGCGACTATCCCGGTCTTACCCCCTCACTGTCACTGAACTAGCCGGGCGGATAGTTTGGCGACACTTCATTCCCCCCCCCTCGTCGTCGTCCTCCTCCTCGACGGCGACCACTCTTGTTACGGATGGGGACGGCGACTCCGGGTCGCCGTTGGCAGATATGGTGTGAGTGGGTAGGTGCGGGTCCTTACTCCACACGCTGACTTCGGTCGTGGTCCGAGCACGCTGGTGCAAGTCTTAAGTGACGCGCTGGGTGGAAATGTCAAACAATCTCGGATAACACGCTTACTTACATACCTACCGTACCCTGTAGCTATGTTTGGTATAAGACAAGAAAATAATAATAATAATAATAATAATAGCATCTCGATGGATGTGCGTGCACACGCCCGGGTCCTGGAGAAGCCAGCTGGGGGGACGCAGAGCCCGGGCGAGGGAAGGCCCGCGAAAGGGGTGTCGAAGCCCGCGAGAACGAGGGACTGGGGCTGTGTGGAACGACGGACGGAAGAGCACGCACCGCGTGCAGTTGCAGTGGCTCGCACTCGGGCCTGCTGCCACCAGGGGCCGGCGACTGCGCACGCTCCCTCGATAGCGATAGAGTTGCTGCTCTCGGACAGACGGCTTCTCACGTCACTCTCAGGCTGGCCGGCTCGGACGAGCGTGTCCGGCGTCGACGTCCACAAGTGCTCATCTGCCTCTGTCGGTCGCGTCCCGTTCATCTCCCCGGCGATGTTCATGTTCGTGGGGGCAGACGTCGACCCACTCGACGCTCGAGCTAGCCGGACTGGGGCAGGACGAATGGATGCATTTTGGTTGCGACGCGCTTCGTCTGAACAAAACTGGGTGCATTATTTGTTTTCGCCTCGTCTTCTTGTGCGCGACGGCAAAGCACGCGTGCGTGATATTGGCACAGACCGTCGGTCCGATGTGTTGCGGACGCGACGAGAAGGACTGGCGGGGTTGACAGACAAGAGATGAAGATGGAGAAAGCAGGCGTCGTCAGCGTTTATTAACAGGTCGCCGCGCAACAGGTCGCCGCGCTCGGCAGCCGAATAGAATACAGGGACGATGAGCGTAGGACGATGGATATGGAAGACAAGTGCGAGCGCGCAGGCGCGAACGTGATTGAGAAGCGGGAGGCGGTGGTACACTAGCGGGAAGCAGACACGCAGAGTGGCTAAGATACTATGGTGAGAAGCGCATCCGGAGGGAATAGCAGCCCGACGCGGTCTAGTGCGACATACGATATCAGACCTCCAACAAGTCCGACTTGCAAGTCCGAGCGGCCCCATGCGTAGCAGGGCGCGTCCATATGGATAGAGCGAGGCCCGAGCGGTTTGCACGAAGAAAAACTGATACCGAAGCGCTGTATGTATCAAATCATACCATCAAGCAGCGAGTCCCGGTGGCAGCTCGCATACTCCGACGAAAGAGCAAGACATCGTGTGCCTCACGCGTTGAATTCCGGGTCCTTGTCGCAGCCGTTGTCCTGGTGGCGCTTCAGCGAGTCGTTCCGGCTGAACGTCTTCGTGCAGAACCGGCACGCGTGCGACTGCTGCAGGTGCGTGCTCTCGAAGTGCCGCTTTTTGTCGTGCGCGCGCCCGAACGACTTGTCGCACTTGTCGCAGTAGTACCTCTCCTGCGGCGGCGACGAGGACGACGCGGGAGGGATCGCCGCCACGACCGGCATGACGGCGGAGAGCGGCGGCGAAGGGGACGCGTTAGACGGGTAGTTGTGGTAGCTTTGCGCCGCTTGCGCTGGGGTCGGGATGAGGTGGGTGGAGTGGGAGAGAGACGGCTGGTGCGACCCGTGCCGCGAAGGAGGATAGCTCGCCTGGCGGTCGTACAGAGGCGGGGTGCGCGACGGCTGGTGCGCGGTGCCCCAGCTGCCGCTCTGTCTGTTGCCCGAAGAGGGCGAAGAGGAGGGACGGGCCGCAGCGAACGGCAGATCGTGCAAGGTCGGGCCTGTCGGTGGTCAGAGAGAGCCGTGCCAACCAGTGAGCACCGGGCAAACATAAGAGCGGAGAGTCTCGAGGACGCACCGAGCGAAGGCACTGCGAACCCGCTCGGGACGTCATGCCGGCTGACATCGCGGGCAGAATACGCGTGCGCGTGGACGAGCGGGGGGAGCGCGTTCGCGCTGGTCATCGACTGCTGGTGGTGGTGGTGGTGGTGGTGGTAGCCCGACGCGTGGGACTGGGGGTAGCCGGACGCGCTGCCGTGATGGTATGGTGGCGGGACTTGCACACCCGTCCCTGAAAGCGATGTCGGCGCGTGGGTGTAGGCGAATGGAGGGCCCCCCGAGGGCTGCTGCTGGTCGGGTTGGCGGGGGTAGGCGTGGGCGCGCGCGTTCTGCTGGGTGGGGGAGTTGTTGTTGGGGGACGAGTAGTACGAGTACGTGGGATCCATGGCGAGCATCAAAGTCATGTAGCGCGGGAGCTTGGCCTGCTCGGTGGAGCGGTGCTGTGGATAGCAGGACGGAGGATGGACAGAGAGCATATATACTGGCAGAAGACTGGTATGCGGCACGGAGGACAGAAACGGAAAGCATCCTGTCGCAATACGGTACCGGATGGGAGCAGATCGACAATGTATCATGCGAGCACAGTTTGACATGCCCATATCCCTGGATGGAAGGGAAGGAAAGGCTATTTCCTTAGCGGACGACAGACCACTGGTCGATACATGCAACAACGATGCGGGACGTTGGAGATCATGAAGCCGTTGCCACCTGCGGTCGAGAAGGAGAATCTGCCCATTCCAGGCTGCCCACAGGTCCGTTCGCCAACGGACACTCCTAGCCTGCCTTCGATCGTAGTCCGTGGGGCGTCTGCATGCCATCGAATTCCCGGCGCCGTGGTGGCCAAGCCCCGCGAGCTCTCAATGTACGCCGACTCTGCCGACCTGCTGCCACCCGACTGCCTGCGCGATGCGTAAGCTCATCTGGACGAACATGGCTCTCTCTCCACACACACACACACACACACACACACCTCGCGACTTTGCTGTGAAAAGACGCGCGATTCATCTCTGCCGATGCATATCCGGCCACGGCAACTCCCGGACGCGCCCATACTCGATCTACGTGCAGCCCTGGCCTCGGGGCGTGAGGTAAACATACGCGGGGCAAGCTAGCACGGGGCAGTGCAAGCACAAGCACAGAAACGGAGACGGCCCACGACCACTGACAACTACGTCAGGACCGATCGCATCACCGAGATAACCTCGGGCTCCTTCGCCGCGCCTCATGTGAGTGCGAGAACAACGAACCATGATCCAGCCAGTGAGGGGGCAGCAATAGTACGTCGCGCACTTGGTCTTGGGTCCTTGCGCGTGTTTGCTGCATGCTCCTGGGGGCGGAACCTTGCAGCCTTCAGGGGGCCAAAGACCCTTCCCGTGCCGTTGATCCATTGGATGCATCGGGATCGTTCTCAGCATCCTCTTCCAACTCGGCACCCAGACTTCTCCTGCGCGCGCTTGCAAAATCTGTCAGCCGTTCGCTAGCTCTACAGATCATACGTACGATGCCCTATTGGTATGCACTTAGTCCAGGCGCGGTGTTTGACCTGTGTTTTCGATGCGCGCGCTTGTCATCGTGCATTACATATGCGAGCCCGGAGGCAGGGCGCGCTGCGCCGTGCGCGCCGACTCCTAATCCTGCTACCTCGAGTGGAGAATATGACGATAGGCCGTCCGGTCATAGAGGTGAATGGCGCCTTGAAGATATCGCTGAAGTATTGCCGGATGGCTGGCGTAGGGTCCCAATGGGGACATTGCCGTTGAACGACTGTCCACGGTGAGAGCACGACATAACCTTCACCTCGCTGGTCTGAGGGCATCCATGAACGGCCTACGAACACCCGTTAGTATAGAGATTTTGGTGCTTCGATGCGTTGGTTCCATCCTGACTGCTGAGGAGCGGCGCCTTGAAGGAAGCTAGGTCAGCCGAACGCTCGGGATTTCTTGTACTAGTACATGAACCTACGCGAATGAACAGCGATAAGCTGTCGATACTTCCATCGATTGCTGGGACGAAGCCTTACGCACGGCATCGGACGGATACCTGGACAGCGCAGGCGTCATATGGCCACAGTGCTGAAGCTGCGATAATGAGGCTTGTGGAGGCGGCGCCCATGCGCGACACATGAGTACGCCGAGAGTAGGAATAGGCTAGCAAAGTGCGGCCGTGGAAGCCGTTGGATTGATCTCAAAGCAAGGGCGGAGCGAGGCTGCCGTCAATAGATTATTTATGTTCGTAGAGGGCGACGGCCACCATCGAGGAGGAGGAGAGGCCGGACCCTGGCTGGCACAATAGCCCGGCGGCAGCTATGGCATACATGAGGCCAGTTAGTCTAGGAACGCCGTTGTAAGACAGAGCACGAAATTGCTGACATACTGTAGTATGTTGCGAGGTTGCTGTAGGCCGCTAAACCTCGTTGGCTTGTATGTCTTGGCAGATCACGATTGCCAGTCCCGTCTTCAATTTATGTATCCATAAGATATGATCCCGACGACACTAGAGGTCTCTAGGACCCTAGCGCGAGCGGATGAGAGAAAGTTCGAGAAGGTGGGAGCGAGAAGTCGTGAGGTTGAGACACTTCGTGGGAAATCGTTTCGTATGATTGCCGTCTCGATATGGGCGAGCCCTGATCGGTTTTGGGAAGTACCATATCGGGGTATGTGGCAAACAGGCGCAAAGCGTATCGCAGGCAGGCGGGCCGCTGGTCGACTCAAGTTGGACCTAGACTCGGACTCGGACTCTACAATTATGGCACCCTTTGATCTCGACGCCTGTATACAGCAGCTCCTTCGCAAACAACTCTTGCACGAGGCTCTTTTGCGGGAAATATGCGAGAAGACCAAGGAGGTCCTCATGCGAGAGTCCAATGTCGTGCACGTTAGCGCGCCCGTAACGGTTGTTGGCGACATTCATGGGTGAGCACTTTGCACGTTCCAAGCTTGCGTGCGTCGGTTGACCGACATTCAAGTCAGTTCTACGACCTCATAGAAATATTCCGGATAGGTGGATATGCCCCACATACCAACTACCTCTTCCTCGGTGCGCCCGCAGTCGTGCGACCCACAGCCTACGCACACGAGCAGCTCATCGCCCAACAGGCGACTACGTCGACCGAGGACTGTTCAGCGTGGAGACAATCTCACTTCTAACGTGCCTGAAACTTCGCTGGCCAGATAGGGTGCAGCTGATCCGGGGGAACCATGAGTCAAGAGCAGTCACCCAAGTGTGTCGTGATCCTTGCCTGCTATCGTTCGCCCTTCGTTCATACCTCGTGTCTTTCGCTGCGCGCCAGACATACGGTTTCTACACTGAATGTGTGCGGAAGTACGGTTCATCACATGTTTGGACGTACTTCACGGACATGTTCGACTTCCTCACACTCTCCGTGGTCATTGACGACAAGATCTTCTGTGTCCATGGCGGTGCGAATCCCCTTGTATATCCAGTCCTGTGCCCATATGCTCATCCGGGATTGCTGTAGGACTGTCGCCTTCGATACATTCAATAGATCAAATCAAAGTGGTCGATCGGTTTCGAGGTGCGTGTTTTGCTCTATCGCGTTTTCGGTAGTCATTGTGGTGGTGGCACTCATGCTTCCGAAGAAATCCCTCATGAGGGTCCTATGGCAGACCTCGTATGGTCAGATCCAGATGCAGAGAAGGAGGATTTCGCGATCTCACCACGGTAGGATCCCATTCCGGTCCCAATGTAGTCACATAAGCTCAGATGGCGTGGTTCCTCAGCGGTGCGGGCTACACCTTTGGGTCAGGCGTCGTGTACAAGTTCCTGGAAACCAACCAAATGTCACACATTCTCCGAGCGCACCAGCTATGTATGGAAGGCTACTCGTCATTATTCGATGAGCACCTATCGACCGTCTGGTCCGCGCCGAATTATTGCTACCGCTGCGGCAATTCCGCCAGTATACTTGAAGTTGGCCCCGGTGGCTCAATGTTCTTCAACGTGTTCCAAGCCGCTCCGGAAAATGAGCGCGACGGGCCGAGTCATCAGGCCGCGCAGAACGCGGGGGGGAAGGTGCGTCATGCGTTGCTCTCATTCCCGTCCGCCAAGTGCTTGCTCAACGCCCATTTCCTCCTCCCTTCGTACTCGCCCGTTTCACTCGTTCTCCCATGCCACTCTCCGTGTGTTCCGTTCTCCTCTCATTCCGTTTTGCCACGTGCGTCTCCGGCGTTCTCTCGTCGCTCGCGCTTCGCTGTCCTTACCGTTGGCGCTGCCATGGTTATTTTCCATGTCGACAGTTGCCAGAGTATTTCCTGTAGCTCGTATCATCCAGTATACCCCTTCATGACAGGCAGCGCTCACCAGTCATGACGCTCGCTAGCACCCGACATTATGTTGTGGAACTCATGGGCCTATAAGATGGCTGTACATTAGGAAGCGAACGGAAGCGAAGAGCCCGCGGCGAGCGTTACCGGCGTGTTTCCTGCTGTGGATACTCCGCTAGATCACCGTGCTGTGTACGTTGCTCAGGTTTCTCCTCTAAACCGTCGTACCCCGCCTCATCGACAGACGTCCGTGTATCGAAGCCGTTGGGGATCCACTGGCACGAGGAAATCACGACAAACGGACAAATACCCATGTTCGATCCTTTCCCCCACTGTTCTGCCTGGTTCCCTTCACATGCCACAGGTACAAGGTCGTTGGTGCTCTCTAGAAGGGATGTCCAGCATTGAAGCCATCACGCAACCCTGCTCTCGCTCCCACGAGCTGCGGGTGGACTGGGAGACGGTGGATGAGTGCAAGGAAGAAGCGAGCTCGGCATCACAACATCAACCCGACTCGTATCGTTATGACACGCAGAAGGCGAAGCCTAGGGATGCCAGAGTTCTCGGACCCAATGGGCGGCTGGGTCGCGATTGGGAGCGTGCAGGAGCACGTTCCGTGGCGCGTGTTTCCCGGATGTTGGACACGCCGCCGCCGCCCCCTGCACTGCGCACCTGAGCGCGGCCAGCAGGCCGTTCGCGATTCGACGCTCGGTCTGAGCCATCTCGAGGCTTCCTTCCTGCCCTCAGCTTCGCTCGTGATCCGGCCTGTCTCGTGATCGCGGCTTCGCATCATCGGCGACACAGCGCTGAGCGCACTGCCCATTTGGGGCTCGTCCTGCAGTCGGCGCGGTCGCCCCGATTGGGGTTATCGTATGAAAGGGACGTACGGCGATGTCGGCTCGCTTGGGCCCCGTCGTTGGGGCTAGCCACAGGGGCGTGGCGGAGAGGCAATAACCGTTGCTCGCGCCTTGTGGAGTAGGTCGATGCCACGGATCGCTCCTGGTATGCCGGCAGCGCGAGCACTAGTGGAGCCCACTGCCGTTGTTTGTCGTGGGTCGTATTGGGGGCCTAATTCATTGGTCGGCGAGAGGGCGCTGATAGAAGCGAGCAGCAGCGACAGGACGACATGCTCGCGTCCGTGAGCGTAGACAGGCGTGTGGCCGCCTGCCGCTGTCAGGTCATCGCACACGCGGCCATTGTACGCAACGAGGCGCTCAGTGCGGCTTCTCCGCGTTCTCCCAGGATTCGTCTGCTCTCAGGTGTGCGAATGCTCTCGCTATCAGAAAGGCAGAGCCCCGTGGCGTGCACGCAGCCTCAGGTACTGCGATGACGAGGAGACTGCGAGCGCACATCCCAAGGCTGCGTTGGATTACTACCGATGCCCGCCTTACGAGCGGATCCGCGTTGTGACCAAACAGGCTTGCCCTACCACGCTACGATTGTGGCTAGCTTTACACTTCCTCCGAAAAGAGTGCGAGGTAGCAGCGTTGCAAGACGACACAGGATGTGTGTGTCCTGTTGGACAAGCTCAGCCGAGCTGTCTTAACGCCGCTGTGGCGAGCCGCGATATGTGGAATGCGCTCCACAGGTCCAGATCAGTTGGCAACAGAACCGTAGGACACGTCCAGAAGACTGTCTGTCTCATCAAGCCGGGATGGGTGCGGGGACAATGTGATACTCGAGTCCGCCATCCGCCTCGGCCGTCGCCGTTGCCTCTACTGATTGCATAAGTCTAATTGTTGGGGTGAAGCGAACCCGACGCCGGAGATAGCTAGGAATCAAGGAAGGGGAAGGAAGTAGGTGCTGATCGACTTGATACATAACACTTGATACATAAGACTTATGATCGAGAGCAATGACCGATCACGTCCCTCCAGATGGCAATCCGCTGGCCTCCTTGGGGTAGCGGTAGTGGGCATCGCGAAGCCTGCCGCAGATGAACCAGAATAATACCTCAGAAGGGAGATTAGCACACGCCAAGCGAAACCATACCTACGCGCTCATCTGGCGAGAACTAACCCCGGGTTTGCACGAGAATCCACAGACGACAGCACGACGATCGTACTATTCATAGCGACATGGAAATTGGACGCTGGGCTCTGATATTGGACCGGTTGTCCGGGTCAGATTGAACGGTTTAGAACCTTGATTCATGCGCTTCATTCCGCGGAGGAAATACAGGTAGGGTGTACTATATCCGAGCGGGAAGGCGTAAGATTCCGCGCATGCCCTGGCTCCACCTGAGCATGCGAGGCTTCCGACGTAACCTATATGTGATTACGCAGACAACTACGGACAGCAAGAGAAGGAAGCGGTTCTTCCACTTGCTCCACCATAGTGCTGCCAACGTACGAAGTAGATCGCGCTTCCGCCGGCGACCATGTCTAAGTTTCGGCGTGGGGGCACCCTGGCGGGAGACGGGGTAGCCGAAGTAAGGATTGAGGTGAGAGTATGTGGATATCGACGGGACACGGGGTACTGTTTGGGAGGACGAGGCTGAAGCAGCGGAGACCGCGGGTTGCGCCGGAGAATCCGACACGCCGGAAGTGCCTTCCTCTAGGTTCACCACTAAGTTCTCCAGGGGATCCTCAAGCTCAGTAAGCAGTGGCAGACTGCCGCCATAATCTGGCAGGTTATGTGTCAGTGCACAATGCGCTAACAAAGGCGCCTTGCTCCACGCTCACCACGCGGAATTGCAGCTGCGGACAGGAATCCGAGGAGCTCGTCTTGCGAAGGGAAGAATATGCGTGTTAGCGCAGACTTCGGTAACAGACGCCTACACAATTCAGGGGAATTGGCTCAAAAGACAAGTCTACTGCCACTGTACTGTATGAATCATACTTTACGATGTTCCAAATCCCTGTATGTGCCCAAGAATGATTGAGAATGAAGGCTGTCGGGCACTGGTCAGCGATGTCAATACAATTAAGCGAAGTAGGAGTCATACCGGCAGCGAGCATACCGGGAAAACGAGGAATAAGCTCGTAGAGGAACCAAGTGATCAAATCTACGGCTTGCTGTAGAGAATGAAGGTAAGAAGGTACTCGTCTTCATAAAGGCACGGCTTGCAACGTACGACGCTTTGCATCGGCATCCGGTCAATATCCATGAGAACAATATACTGCAAGATGGGCCGTTCGCGACCATGTGCAGTTTCTTGTTGGTGGTTGAGTGTGTGCAGATGAAGCCGCAACAGTTCCATGTAGTGTATGAGGGCTGAGCGTACATCGTGCGAGGGACCGAGCAAGTCGCAGAGTTTGACCACGACGATCGGCCTCCCAAACGGATCTCGAACGTTTGTAGGCAGACATCGTATGAAAGATGTAGACGAACGGGGAATCTCGGTTGGTATCACGGCCAACCGCCACAACAACACATCACGTGCGTTTTCGAGAGCAAATGGAACTGTGAATTTGTGACGCTGTAGCATCATATCTGTTCAGACTACGTCTCCGAGAAGGACAGCGCTTGGGACCCACTCTGAGCAACCTGAATATTGATTCTGCAAGGTCACAGCGAATGTCAGAAAGGCGAATAAGCCATAGGGATAGCCGATACGCACGGAGGTCGTATAACCACGATGTTGCCCTCCTTTCCCCTTCGTCATCCAGGTACAGTTCATGCACCAATCCCGGTAATATGTCTTTCCTCAGCGTTCGCTGCAAATTTCGCGCGTTGTCGAGGTTGGATTTATATATTTCGACGAGCTCTTCCTTCTTCTGACGTAGGACGTCTTCCATTGACATGATGAGGGAAAAGGTACGAGCCAAGGACACGTCGGGTCGAAAACGCGCTGGAGCCGTGTCACCACAGGCCTAAGATGGGGGAGGGGTGGTGCATGGTCCGACAACGAGTGGTCAGCCCACCATCAATGCTATGCACATGTGGATATTGCCCGCTAAATTCGGGGAGCTGATTGGCGCCGAATGCTCAAACAAGTCTCGCTGTGCCGTAAGGTTATGGTCACGGTTTCTTGACCGTGCACACTGCACTCCTAACTCAAAGTTGCGTCTCCTCACTCCTCTGATGTAGCGGGACCTTGCTTATACAGATCATCAATCCGAAGCCATTGGTTGACCATCGGCAGTCCTATACATCTGTCAGCATGACCAGCAGTTAGCGGAACATGGATTTCTGCGCCCGGGGGACCGCGACGGCGAAGAAAAACAGGTGTTCTTGGCTGTGCTCGCTTGCAGGCATCTTCAAGACCGTGGGGACGACCGCTGAACATGGATTGCTGCGCCCCGGTCGCCCGTGCGGTCACGAACATGGCTGCAAGCGAGCACAGCCGGGAAACCTTGTTTTCATCCGCAGTCGCGCGCCCACAGAAGGTTTTCTCGGCTGGAAGTCCGAAGCAGGGATCTGATCCTCCCGTCTCAACGACTTGAAGATCACCATACACTACTCTACATCTACTAAAAATCCCTGTGCAGACTTTGTAGATCCCGCCGGCACGGCTTAAGGGGTTGAGGAGGGTAGGGGAGGATCCCCCTCTCGCACTCCGCCATCTCCAGGGAGGAAACAGACGACCGCGACCGTCACAACGTCATAGGCGACTTTCAGCTGCTTTGCTTGCCCTCGCTGTCGCGGTCGCGATCAGACCGCGCGGGCGGTCGGGTGCATTAAAGATGTTTCCGGCGACGGGGCGCAGAAAACCATGTTTTGGGTCGCCCGCGCGGTCATGAAAATGTACACCTGCTAGCGAGCACAGCCGAGAAAACCTATTTCCTTTTGCGGCTGCGCGTTGACAGCAGGTTTCCTCGGCTGGAAGACCACCGAGACCACCCCACCTGAAGCAGGGAATTCAAAGTCCCTCCTTTTCGATTCTAACATCACTATATAGTACGTCCACTAAACCCTCCTGTGCAGACGTGGGCCATTCCGCGACATGACCTCAACGCCAGGGTCGAGTAGAGTAGGGGAGGCTCACCTTACGCACTCAGAGACATTTCCAGACTGCGACCGCGACCGTGTCATACGCGAGATTCTGTTTTACTTCCAGGCTACACGGTCGCGGTCGTGGTCAGACCGCCCGGGCGCCAACACTTACGTCCCCGCAGTTAACCTCTCGTTTTGTAGGACAGTTATCCGCCGGCGTCTCTGCTCGATAGCCTCTGAGCTCTGTTTTCCCTCCAACCGCAGGATCCCAGGCTACCTCGTAACCTACCTGCTATATGAATCACCGTCACTCCACTGCAAGTCGACGGCAGTCATGAATCCCCTTGGCACCATCAGGAACATATCTAGTCGCCAGAGGTAAGCTCTGATAGACACTCATTCTGAATGGAATATAACCAACCTTCACATTCACTGGCAGTGCAAGCTGCCTTTAGGGCTCAATTGTGTCTGCAAACCCTGGGACCCGCCAACCACTGCCTCCCTTTTGAGTTCATTGTTGCGCTGAGAAGACCGTGAAGCGCAGATCCAGCGTCGAAACTGTAAAGGACCTCGCACTGTCCCGGTTCCTGCCGTTCTGATGCTCTACGTAGCCGTACTCCTCATCATGCTCTTCGCCGAGATCGTGCCTTCTGATCCTCATCGTATCCGAAGTTCGCTGATCGGCCTCTGTCTAGCCGCTACCATACGCCTCGAATGTCTTCGGCCCGAAGCGGATTTCCTTCCCTGCCCCCCTGCAGTCCGCACAGCATTCATGCTTGTCCACCGGAAGTCTTGACTGAGATTCTGGTACCCTTCCTGGGTAGCCTACAACGAGGTTCACTGAACTGAGGCTCTCCCCTTCCTCCGCGCGCGCGCAGGCTTATCAACAATGCACACTCTGACTTGCATGTGGGTATCCGTTTGACTAAATGACAGGCTTCCTCCGTTCATTAATGGCAATCACTGGTACACCTGTGAGTATATACTGCACTGACAGAGTGCTTTCCCGGAGGGCAGGTCTGCACCGGGGCTTCGGGTCGACAAAGCCTCTACTTTCATTTCGCGCTCATATCTTGCCTTCCATCTCTTCCATAGCAACCTGTCCTGTATGTTATCCGTGTAGCCGCCGGCAATGTCGATATCTTTCAGACCGTGCCCCGCGCACGCATGTTTTGCAAAACTTCTATCGGTCGGCAATAGTCTGCAAGATCCGAGCGCGCAGTTCTGTGCGCTTTCAGATGGCGTGCGTGGCACCTAACCAAGGGCCCTGACTGTCTACTACCTCTACCTTACCACGTTCTTCTCTGACCATCCCAACGTCTATCGCCGTCTTCGACATGTTTCTGTTGAGTCAAGTGAAGGGAGATGACCGACGAACGTTGTCTTCACATGTGGCGGGAGAGCAGGTTGGACAGGTGTGGCCCAAACCGAACGCTCTCTGTACTCGGCTCTCTCTCTCTTCCTTGCGGTACATCTCAGCGCCGACCTCTCTTGCCGAACCCTCGCGATTCCGTCTGTCGAACATCTTGCGATATATCCCCACATTATCCGCTTTCTCGAGCAACGTGGGTCTCAGGGTTTAGGACGGTGTCGCTCAGCGCAGTAGCGTTGCCTTCCTCGAGCTGTACGTCCTTGTTGCCTGCGCCGCACCAACCTAGCTCAGGAAAGTCCAATTACCAGCGAGCTGGAGACGCAGCCTACCTTTCCGACCCCGACCTCTTGGACTCCGCCCGAGGAAGGTTACATACAGGCTAAATCCAAAACCTTGGGCCGCCTCGCGTCACTCCTCCACGCTGCCTCCGCCATTATACAGCTCCATTGCTTCTTTGGGCACCTGTTGATCTCGTTGGCCGTCTCCACGCCCGCTATGGTTATTCTTGCGAGTAACTGTATTGCAGTCCCCTCCTGCCCTCTCTCCCATTTTTTAAGCCACTTTGTGCAGATCGGCACCATAATTTCCACAACACGTTGTCGAACCCTCTGGTCTCGACAGAACGCGACACCACTTCCACCACCCAGGCTCGGCTAGCTAGCAAGCTGGAGGCAGGGTCGTTCCTGCCAGCCTACATGAGGGGAGAGATGACACCTGATATCAGGCGCACGCTATCTCTATCTTTGACACTGACTCATTGGACACCACTACTTGCATCCCAGGGTCTGTCCAACACCGGCACGATTCTCGACGCTTCTCTCACGGCAAACCACTCGGACTTCTCTTTCCCCATCACTTCACCAGGCGCTTCTCCTTCGAAGGCCCTTCCGCTGGGAACGGCAATAGAAGGAGGGCGAGAGAATATAGAGATCCGAGGCCGCTCTGTGGTAGAATCACAACACGCTACCGACCGCTTTCCTCGTTTCTTCGCTTATCTACTACGCAACGGCACGCCAAACCCCAAATCGGACGGAGGACGTTCACGTCCACGCCCCCGTTCACGTTCGCGGCGCTCAGCGGATCCTGGAGGGACTCTGGCTTCTTTGGCGACAATCCCGGATGCTCCTGCACAATGCGGAGTCGGCGACGAAACAGGCCTGCAGTCATGCGCCGTCGCTGTTACTTTGGCTCTCTCTTCAGCCGAATGCTCTTCTTCTCTGAGGGTCCCCACCTCTTCCACCATCGCCCAAGCGGACACACTCAGGCTCGCCCTTGCGTCTGAGCATCTTGGAGTATCTCGGGAAGTCCTTGTCTCTGCGTCTGGTGCTTCGGATCCGGTCACGGCTATGGCGAATCATTCATCGTCGGCGTCCTCATCAAGAGGCGGTGGCGGGTCTGGTACGCGCGCTGAACAGCTTCTAGCATCCACGAGGAAGGGTGCTGATCGTGTCGCAGGCGAACGTATCATGGCAAATTCTTCACAACTCTCATTTCTCTCTAACTCGAGCTCTCCGAACCAGCTCGCCAGCACGAGCACGGTCTCGCCCCAGTATACGGATGCAGAGCTAGATCCGGACGGAGACGAACAGGACGAGCAGGCCCAAGAGGCGCAGAACCAGGCAAGTGGGGCCCAGACCCCGGAAGGACAGCCGCGAAAGAAGAAGACACGTCGCGCCGGCGTCGCTATTACGCGAGTGCGGCGGATGCAGCGCGAGGTTCGGAAGCTCGCCGAAGAAGAGGAGGTCAATAATGCCCAACGGCAACAGCCAGGACGTGTACGGGCTCGACTGTTGTGTATTTTGCTTGTGTTCGGAGGCTCATCTCTGCGTTCGTTTCTCGCTCTATCTAGTCTCTCCTCCAGCTTCAGCCAGTCCAAGTCCAGCCTACGTACCCTGGGAACGCTCACCCGATGCAAATGCGACTGGGAAGCCCAACCAGCCCACGTTACGGTCCGTTCCAGGGAGGCATGCCTGTAGCCGGGCCTGCGAGCCCCCCGCCGCGTTCTCTGACGAGTCCGGTTGCTGGCGGAGCGAGCGCGAGCTTGAACGTTGCTCCCCTCGCACGCCCCCATACACGCAACGAGGGCAGTCCTCCAGGTCACGGTCTTGCTTCTGCTGCGCACCCTCATTCAATGACACGTGGGCCTCCGTACGACCGCATCCTCGAGGTACGTGTTCGTGCATGCTGCTGGTCGCTGGCACCAACTCATCTGAATTAACACGCATTTCTCGTTCTGGCGCGCGCTCATCTTTCCACAGGACGGTGACGACGTGGTTCTTCTGCCCCGTCTGCCCAGCGCCAGCCCCACAGGAAGCCCAAGCATTTGGGCGTACCGCCCGGAGGAGAGGGACACAACACGGCCTCGTGGTGGCCCTGCGTAAGGCTTCGCACCTGAGGCGTCAGCTCGAGCTCCGCTCTTTGCGGCGACCACGCTCGTGATCCTGACTTTCCCCCAAGTTCCCGCATAGCCGGGCTGGTTGTATGTGCCTCGACGGCATGTTTGATAACATAACGTCACACCCGAGCAGACCGTGTTTGCGAGTAGACTCAGCCGTGTACACTATTCGTCCGACCTACCCCTCGTTGCAGCGGGCAGGCGTATACCTGACTGGCTTGTTATCATTCCTCTCATCTCCCTTTGTCAGATGCCTCTCTAGATGTGGTATCTTGGTCGTTGTTGTCAGCGTTATCATCATCGCATTCGGATATCTCGCCTTTGTATGGTACAACTCTAGCATGGCTGTCGTGTAACATCATTCATCCTACCTATTACGGTGACATCTCTTCTTCCGCGTCTATTCCTAGAGAGCAGTCCCCGAGAACACGATCAAACACCAGGTTCGCCATGCAGGATTTCATAAGCCCTTCATAGACTGCCTAATTTCGGTGTTACCGGCTGGGGACCTGCACGTCCGTACGCCCATTCGCTGAGAATCACCCCTCCGATCGCGGTTCGAGGCGGGATCTTGAATGGAGGAGCGCTGTCAGACAAGGCTGGCGCGACGCTGCTCTTGGCTCCTCGCGCATCCGCCGTCGCTGCTTCGGGCTTCCCGTTCGGGTTGCTGTTCTCGGCCGCCGCGGCGAGCTCTTTATGCTCCTGCCGTGAGATGATTGTGCCGCTTGTATGGCCGAGGACCGCCAGGAGCTCTTCACGTGTGAACCACCGGGCCTCTGCAGGAGCGCCAGACGACACCACAATCAACAGGTTTATGTCAGAAACAGCAACCGCAGGTAGACGCGAGGCGCCACCACACACCATCCAACTCGTTATCGAGATCGGTGCGCAGCGGCTCGTTCGAATCGGCGGTCGCATAAAATCCGCACATGAGGTTGGCAGGGAAAGGCTGGTTCAGGGACAGGCATTAGACAATCCGGGATGTGGCGGGGGTCGGTACAGGCAACGCGACATACCCATGGCTGAGAAGAGTGGTAGCGGACGTCCCAGACCTTCACGCCGGCCTCTTCCCACATCTCTCGCTTGACCGCGTCCTCGAAGGACTCGCCAGGCTCGTTGAACCCAGACAGGCACGACCAAAAGCTCTTCGGCCATTTCCTCTACAGGTGGGGTTTCTTCTATGAATGGGGGTGGGAAGCCAAGCGAGCGGATGATACGCACGTTGCGACCCAGGAGAATCTTGTCCCCAGTCTGGTTTACGACGGCCATAATGACGACTGGATCTGTCCTCGGATGCGAGAAGTTGTTGAGCCCGGTCGCGGTCGAACAAGGCTTCTGCCCGGTGTTCTCCGCCCAGGGGAGTAGCGTCGAGCATGTGAGCTTCCATCCCGCCCACGAAGAGTGTACAGAACTGCCGCACGAAGGGCAGAACTGGTTCCGGGTGCGGGCGCGAAGACATGAGACCATTCCGTAAGCAACGAGCGTATCTCCGGCGGTAGCCGCCTTGGGTCGGATACCGCAAGAAAGACGTACCTTGTTCCGCGCGTTCCAGTCAACAATCGCGCGCGCCTCGGCAAATATCGCGGCCTCGAAGGCGTCGAAGGAGCCCGTCGCCGCGCGCGGTTCCGTGAAGACCAGCTGCGTGCCCTGTTCTCCCTCAGCGGAAGCACTCGCGTGGAGAACCTGATCCACTTCCGCCTGGTCGACGTCGCTGACGTCGAGCGAGAAGTACGGCGTGCCCTTGATGTTGTCGATCACCGTTTGTGGATCCGCCTTGGCGCTGAAGTCCGACGAGGGCAGCGCCGCGGCGAACGTCGTCTCTGTTTCGTGCAGTCCGAGGAAGACGATCGGGGTGCCGCGTAGCCGGGATCCTTCGAGGGCCTTCACGTCCGGATCCGCGATCTCGCCTTCGCGCCGGCCTTGCGCGAAGAACGGCTCGGTTCCCAGCAAGGACCGGACGTCGCGCGTCGTCAGGCGGGCGAGGGACTGTTTGAACGTGCCTGCGTGCGCGCCGGATGTGGAAGACTTTAGGAGTGGCTGACCCTCGCGGAAGACGAGCCACCGCGTTGCCGGTGCGTGGACGATGGCATTCAGGAAAGGTTGTGAAGTGCGGAGCCAGGCGAGGCGGTTGAGGGGATTACCGCTGAAGAAGTTGACGTAGCTGGGGAAACATGATCTGTTTCAGTAGCTGTACGTTATGCCATGCGACAAACATGCGCAAAAGCAGGGGCACGAGAGCACATGAAGAGGGCAATACTGTGGACGTAAGATGGACTTGTGCGACAGGCCCTGCGTCAAAAGCAGGTTTGAGGCGCAAAATGCAGCTTCAGATTGAACGGCAGATTATGCGGGATTGTCTCCATTTGAACCGGGCCACTCAAACCTAGGCAGCCAGACAACCGGGTATATCACCCAGGGCCCACGCCTTTGCGGCGTCACTCACAAATTCTGCAGAATCGTCCGAGACCTTCACCGTATCCAATGAGGACAGTGAGCTGGCTGAGAAGAGCGTGGCAAGCGTGAGATCCCGAGCGATCAACCGCGGTCGTCGACAGAAGACGTTCGACATCCCGAAACGCTCTCTCGATGCATGCGATTCCCTGTCCGAGTGTTGCCATATGCGTTTGACTTGGTTGCTATTCGATTTATGGGTGGTTTCACCCAGGGATGATCTAAAGCTATCCTAGTATACGCAGATGATGCAAGAGACGAAGGAGTAAACAGATGCTCACGGTTCGGGACCCATTTCGAACCTCGAGAGACTCGAGAGGGACCGGCGAAGAAACTGAAAGGTGTGACGGTGAATGGTGATGGGTGGGCAGGACCTCAGAGGTACTACGGAGGACGATGGTCGAGGTGTGGGTGGAAGAAATATCCTGGAGGCATTCGTGATACACCGGGCGGATGACCGCTTTCCTAAACCCGGCTGACTCATGGGTCACAAGCAGCTGCCCACTCGGACTGACCAGGAAGCCCGCTGTCGCCCGGAGGACGCACTGTATTCACTACCGCACATCGGAGTAGGACGGGCACATACTGCTGTCAATACGTGCGAGTAGAAGGTGATGATGGTAGAAGAAGAAAGTGCACAGTCCGAGATTCCCAGAAACGGTCGGGAGGAAACGGTCAAGTTCTCTCGGCGCTCATAAGTATGGAATGGTGGGCGCCACGAGGTCCTCGATCATCCTCCTCTCGGCAATGAATGTCGACATTGTTTCTGACTCTCCCGTTTACCTCGGTCACCAGCACGTTTGCCGAAGGCTCTAACACGGACAATCAGGCTCCCGAATCGACTGGTATCCATCGTCAGCGGCTGGCAGCGAAGATTGGGGGGCTAGTCCTCCTGAAGTCGCCACAGTGTTCGTGTCCTGGGTACAACGTTCATAAACGTTGCATGCACGCCCGTCATAGGGAATCCTCAAGCTATCCGTACTGCCTGCAATATGTCTCGATCGGTGGTACAATAGGTTTCACAGGGATCCTGTGCACAACTGCTTCGAGCCGAAGCGCCACTACCCAATCTGGCTTTTCACGCTCTCCCGCGCAGCCTTTTTGAGCGACTTGATACGGTCCTCATCACCATGCAATATCATGGACGGCGCTCGCTCTCCTCCCTGTTTCGCAAACACTTCTGCGATCTGCGCTAAACAAATGGCATTTCGCTACCTCTGTGTAACCGGTACGACCGTTGCGATGCTGGAGTTGCCATAGCTGACTCGGAACAGTCGAATTTCGCTCTCTATCTACGACCAGCTTGGACGAACCCACGCAGCGGCGATGTGACTCGTCATCTCAGTCGCGGCCCAGCTATGAATAAAGTAAGGGGCAGGAGCAATCCATACAAGCCGAGCGGTAAGTTACCGGCCTGGAAGGAGGCGAAGTGGCCAATAACCTTTTCTGACGCACAAAAGGCTGGCTAAAGTGGCCGGGAAACCCTCCAAAAAGGACAGGTCATGGATCCAGAATGCACAATTTCCGCAGACCGCTGATTCCCAGTGTTCTAGTGCCCTTACACGCGGAGACTTTTGACAGAGCGCGTCTTGCAACCACATGTTTTCGGTGAGGACACGAAGACGTCGACCCTGGGACATCCCCGAGAGTCGGGTAGCCATGGCCATATCTCGCTCCAGACGCTGCCTCTACTGGTGCGATCTGACTTGGCGCGGCGTCCCCATCTGCTCCTGGTGCTTTTGATTACGCATCCCTACTGCAGTATGTTAGATCACTTCCGACACCGCATCGGTCCTGGATCTCACCATTGTCCGACTTTTGGAGGTCGCAAAGAGAGTCATACAACTCGTTTATAGCACGGGCCGCCCCGCCTCGGTCACCTTCTTGACGTGGTGCCCCACACTTGAGAGAGTACATAACCGCCTCGCCTATGGGTTGCGCCGGTCAAACCGCCTCTCTCTCTCTCTCCTCCTCCCATCGCGTCCTCCTTCCCCCCATGGCCCGTGTTCCATTCTACGGCGAACCGACGATGTTCCTGTCTCAGTCCTCGTGGTGGTGCAGTGCTGTGAGCCGTTTTCTACTCGTCGCTTGACACTTTACACACGATGCGTTCCTTCCGACTCCCCTTCAAACTTCCATATAAGGCAGTCGGTCGCTCCGGTCAGAGAGCTCTTTACGGCTGTTCCTATGTACTTTCCTCGCTCGACGCGCTGCATTCCCCGGCCGCACGTCGAGCAAGGGACGGTCATGCGATCTACGATAACCCAGCGGCAGCCCGGGTGCGTCTTATATAAGTTCGAACCTTGCGCGCCGCGCTAGGCCATGTTTATGACCCCTTCATGACCCATTGTACGCCCCCGATGTGCGTCGCGTTGCGTCCGGCGGTTCGCTAACTCGCGTGTTTACGTTTGGTTTGCGTTGTCGAGCAGATGCCATCAGATCCGCCGTCCCCCACGACGAAGCCGCTCCCGCACCCACATGCGCACACGCTGAGCACCCAGCGCCCGACACCTCTCCGCGCACAGACAACGCCGGCGACACAGTCGAGCGCACCGCGCGCGGCGCTGACCCCTGCGCAGGCGATCGCGCAGGCGTGGATGCGCGAGTCGGCCGAGGCGCAAGCGCAATGGCGCATGGCCGACGTGCGGGCCAAGGAGCAGTACATGAACCCCGTTAGATGGAACACGGGCAGGCCGGAGAAGAAAAAGAGGAACGGAGCAAAGATGTGAAGGACGGCGTCGACGACCCCAACGAGGCGCGTGTAGGAGGTTGGCGGGAACGAGCCTGCTGTGGTATCTATCTATCTATTCGTCATGCGTTGCATTGTAGGATCAGTCCCCGTCGAGGGAGCGGACTCTTTCGCTGTTGAAGGCGCTGGGACTCTAATATTCGTTCTTTCTTGTGTATGCGTTGTATCGTTATGGTCATGGAATATGCATCATGGTGAAATATGCCAAAAAACGGCCTGTTCTGTTTGACGTAAGGTCCAGTACGCATGCCGTCGGTGTCAGATCAACTGGAGGTTGTCTGAGTGGTAGGTCCCCGCTTCTGCAGTGTTGCAAGGTTGACGACATGATTCTCATGCATGCCGTGGGTGACTTGAAAGCATGTTGGGTCGCGGCTGGAGTTGACCGACGGGTTCTCTGCGTGCATGAGAAGGCCAAGATGGCAATTGTGTATGAAGCTCGCGCCGTTGTCCTGCATCCGTCCAGAGGATCTTATCTAATCTCGGGCGTCCCGCCAGGAAAGTTTGGATGCGCGCTTTGTGATTGGGCGACGGAGAGTCGTCGGTCCGCCGAAGCTGGGGTACATCCAGCTGGCCTCATGCGAATATTGACTCGACGGGCTCTACCTCTTCGACCTCCATCTCGCCTGGCTCCGTCTTCTTCGCGTTGTGCTCTCAAGGGACTCAGCTATGTCCAAGACGGTCAAGGATCTCACCGCGGGCACCGCTGGAGGCATCGCACAGGTCCGTAACACCACCTCGTCCCCGCTTTCCGACTAACACTCATCCATGCCGTGACGCCTACACAGGTGCTCGTCGGGCAGCCATTTGACATCGTGAAAGTGGTACGTTTCAATCAACTGCGCTGTTGCTTTGCTCTACAACGCGCGACATGGTGACACGCGACCCGGAAACAGCGTATGCAGACCGCGCCCGCGGGCACGTACAAGGGCATGGTGCACTGCGCGGGTGGAATTTTGAAAAACGAGGGCCCGCTGGCATTCTATAAGGTTTGGTGCGCTCCCGTGCCTTTCCGTACATCTCCGTATGCTGATTCAACTCTGCCCTCATTCCCCCCACGCTCCTCGAATCACGATGTGGTATACAGGGTACCTTGACCCCGCTCCTCGGCATCGGTGTCTGCGTCTCGATACAATTCGGCGCGCTCGAGTGGACAAAACGTCTCTTCGCCCAACAGAACTTGCGCAGCGGTCGCGGAGGTCCTGACGGGATGATGCTGTCGAGCGGGCAGCTCTTCTTCGCAGGCTCGTTTGCAGGTCTCGCGAACGGCGTCGTATCAGGCCCCGTCGAGCACATTCGCATCAGTGAGTTGATATCATCCTGCGAATATTATGCGTATACTTCGCGCTATTGTCCAAGGTTCTGGCGCTGGCACTCGAACATCTACTCAGCGTACTGTCCGCGTCTCTGCGTCGTACACGGCAGTAATCCTCGGACGCACACATGCCCACACTCGTACGTGGCGCACATGTCAAATATAGTGGCATTCATTCCCGTAGCTCGAAGTTTGCCTTCTGACACGACTCTTGCCGCTCAATCTATTCGCTCGTACCATTTGGTTCACCGGGTCATGTCGCTTTCCGTTTTGCTTCTACTCCTGGAAGCACTGTGCCATATGGCCTCAAGCTACACAGCATGGAATTTACTAGTCGCTGCCCCTACAGCGCTGTCTTCTCTCGTCGCTCACCTCGCACGCCGCGGAGTTGCTTACTGACCTCTTTCTACACTCATGCAGGGCTGCAGACCCAATCGGCTACAAACCCCGTCTACTCTGGTCCGTTTGACGCGATGAAGAAGATCTGGAGCCAGTACGGCATCGCCGGAATCTACAAGGGCCAGGTCGTGACGCTCTGGCGCGAGGCGACCGGATACGGGATCTACTTCTGGGCGTACGAGAAGCTTATGCAGCGCGAGATGCAGCGGAAGGGCATCCGGCGGGACCAAGTGAATCCCGCGAACGCGGTGCTCTTCGGTGCCGCGGCCGGATACGCCGTAAGTCCTCCCTCCTCTTCTGTCCTTCTCTCCCCATGCTATTGTGCAGTCGTGTTGTTTGTACGATCACTGTGTCTCGATGGGTCCTTTCCGTGCTTCACACGCTCATTAACGCGCACGCTTCCTTTCCTCCCCACGACAGCTCTGGGCGGTCATATACCCCATAGACATGATCAAGTCCCGCATGCAGACGGACGGCTTCTCGGCTGCCGACGGACAAAAGTACAAGTCCACCTTGAATTGCGTACGCACGGTGTGGCGGACAGAAGGCCTTCCCGCGTTCACACGGGGACTCACACCCACCCTCATTAGGTACGCCCTCGCACACTGATGAAGGTATGATCGTGCTCATCATATGCTCTTCTCAGGTCGCCGTTCGCAAACGGCGCCACGTTCCTTGGTTTCGAGCTCGCGAGCCGCGCTCTCAACAGCCTATGGCCATAATCCTGAAGCTAGACCTCGGGGATACCTCATACCTAGATATGCATAGGCGACCACGACTACACCACAATGTACCGTACATAATTGCTCTTGGTCACCGGCCCCTCCACGCGAAGGGCCGAGCGGCGTTCGTCTCCTGTCTGCTGGGTTTAGGACAGCCCTTTCATCTTGTGTATCACAATGTCCCGTTCCAATACGATCTAGAACAGCACACATCGGTTCGAGACACCGGGACTGCTCGTACTGTGCGAGCAATGACGTGAACAAGGATACAGACAGGAATTCGATGGCTACAGTGTGACGATAGTGAGCTAGTACTGTACATTCAGACTCAGTACAACCTCGGTCCTCTACAACACCTCCTCATCATCCTCGTCGCCAGAAACCTCGGCGTTCTCTTGGCCAGCCTTCGCCATGAGCTGCGCGAGGTCCTGCTCTTCCGTCTCGGAAACGGCTTTGGGCTTCGGGAAATCGGCAAGGAAGTAAGCGCGTAAAGACAGAACACGGTCGGACCGTAAGCCGTACCTTCATCTTCACAACTAGCGACCCCCCCTGGTCCTCAATCGTTGACTGAATAGACTCAATTGCGCGCTCCAGCCGATCGACGGCGGCGTACTGTAGGAAGTAGCGTTAGTGCCGGCCGTACACGACCCCAGCCGATAAGATGTCAACTGACCTTGTCGGTAGCGTTCGTGCTCAGAACGTATAGAGGAGGTGCGACGAGCTTCGCCTTGATTGGGACGGCCTCGTTGCTCTGCGCTTCCCCTGCACGGAGAGCTTTCTTGATAGCGTCGATGCCAGCGGGGGTATAGCATGTCAGCTCAATGTCGGCACGGAGCTTGATCGGCTGGGGCGTCAGTCGTCGTGCGATGGTGCTGAGAAGGACGTTCAGCACTGCGGGCTGCACAGGGCTCGGCAAGGACTGGAACACAACGTCGGGCTCCCTATTGGCATTCACAATCAGTCAATATCTCTCTCTTCTTTTGACGTCCGACATCAGCGGTGAAGTACGCACGTCAAAGCAAGCTTGAATGCATCGTATGGATGCCCGTACTTCCTGCCCAGTGGCCACGCAATCTGGTCGTACAACTGCTCCAGACGCGCCTCCTCGTTGGCACTGCCCCCGGGCACCTCTTCGGGGACGATGTCCTCCTCGTTCCCCTCCTTTTTCGCCGCACGGCGAGCGCGCTTCGTCTCCGCGGCGTCCGCCTCGGCCTTCTTCGCCTGCTCGCCTTCCAGGACCTCGCCGTCGACGGAGGGCACTTTGGAGGCGACGTGCCGCATGATGGACGCGACCGTTTTCGACTTCATGTAGCGCTCCTCGCACTTCGTGATATCCTCGGGGGAGACACGGCGTTTTGAGAGGTCGATGTAGCCTGCACGCGACAAAAGTGACAAAGAGGTGGTCGTAAGGCAGAAAGGTGGTCGTAAGGTCATGGATGATGGCATGTGAGGGTGATGAGGCGGAAAATACGCACCCTTCTCCTTGTCCACACGGAGAACGACGACGACTTCGTTCCGGCCGACACGGATGAGCTTCTGGATCGATCGGATACGTCTCCGCGAGAGCTCAGAAAGCAGAATCATTCCCTCGATGTTGTCATATTCAAGCTACTTGGAGGAGGTCGATGAGCAAGTAGTTCTGTAGTCCTCTTCCCCGCGCCTCGGGCCCGTGGAAAGAACGCAGCAGGACTCGCGCAGAGCGGGGAACTTACAAGTTTCACGTAGGCTCCCATCTCCGCGATTTGGCGCACCTGCACCATCACCAGCTCATCTACTTCTGGATAGCGTTGCTCGTAGTACCGCATCTTGGTGTATTGGTGTTTCAGAGGGAGAGGATGGGGGAGTTTTTGAGAGAGCCGTCTACTCTGACTCTAAGCGATAAACGATAAAATCGGCGCCAATCTGGTTCGTACAGTCGACACCCTCCTAACCCATACCCCTGGTAACCCATAAACTCCCGAAACCCATAGGATTTTGGCTTTCCCAAGTCGGGATAGGGGGAATTCGACCCCATAACCCATAGGCCCCTGGTACCCAATAACCCATAGCTTTCTAGGGCCCAAAACCCATATGGTAATAGGGCTCACATTGAGATTACGCTCATCGATAACCTTTGTAATACTCGATGCATGCTTCCCAGAGTCCTCCCAGTGTCCATCCATGCTCCGACCATGTTGTGGGTAGGTGAGTCTGTTCGAAATCCCATAGCGCTCCCTCAAAGGGTCAGTAGACGCCTTTCCGGCGCTCGCTAACTGGGACTAATCAGGGGCGCTTATAAGGCGCTTAAGTTCTCGTAGCCCATAACCCCTCAAAACCCATATATTCGGGCCTGTCCCGAGGCCTATGGGTTAAGAGGGTGTCGACTGTACTCGAGGAAGACCATCACACATGTCACAGCTTGCTCAACGCCCATGCGACAGGATCATAAGTACGTGAATAAAGTACCGCTTAGTCGCAGGATTACAAAGGGACTTCAACGATCAGTACACAGGTTCAGAAGTGCTCTATTCTATCCAGCTACGAACGGCTATAAAGAGATCATACTGAACGTCGCCTGCTCATCATAAGGTCTCATGCGGCCAGTACATATTCCCGTCGCATCAAGGATAAGCATCGCAATGACACTCCACAATTGCAAGAATGTCATTGACCATCGGAGCCGACCCGCTGCCAGACCGCGGACTCCATACAAAGACTATGCCGCCGGCATGATATAACCACTCTTCCGCCACACCGTCCCTTTGCGCTCCCAACCCCATGGGATTGGAGACTGCGCACAGTGGTGGATGCTGACCACAATAGCACATCAATCGAGGTGTTTCCTCGGTGTCAATTAGTGTTGAGACGCGGAGAAGGTCGTGGCCGCACGCCCCAACGAGTTCCATCGCGCAGCAAGGTGCGCCAAAACGAGGCTTCTCTACAAATATCACCCAGAAGGCACGGAGGTGGCTCACACCGATGCGCGAGCTGATGACAATGGCACCGCATATGCCTGCGTGCGCAGCCGTAAGGCCTGCAGGATCTGCGGGTGCAGAAGTGGATACGTGGCCGAAGGATAAGGCAGAATAAGAAATTTGGGAAAGCCCAAGCTCGCTCGCGTCGCAAAGGCATTAATAGCATCTTTCAAGCACGTCCTGAGATCATTGCAACATCCGGTCCGCTCCCGATCCTGTCCAACGAAATATACCCCAAACCAAAAAAAAAAAATAGCAAGTTATGCGTAAGCGACATTAGGAGCTCAATCCTACTAAATGCGCCCGTGAGACGTACCCCCTGCGAGCGAAGGCTTTGCAAGCGGCCTCCATGGTCATGCGAGGGCGACAGATCCCGAGATGGCGCTCGCCAGGAGCGACAATGCCACACCAGCCAGGACATGCGAGTTCGCTGAGAGCCCCACGGCCGCGTTGTTGGCACCGGAAGCCCCGGAGGAACTCGACGGCGAACCCGCTGAGAACAAATGTTGAACAGATGTTGTCTACTATCATTGCAACAACTGGGGACGTACCAGAAGTCCCGCTCGGGCCCGATACGGAGACGGACGGCAACGGGGCGCCAGTAGCCGAGAATGTCGCGCTTGGGATGGCCGTCGGGGTTCCTGTAACGACAGATGTTGCGTGGTCCGACAGAATAGAGGAGAGCAGTGTCGGGTTGACAGTGTCCGTTGTTAGTTGCGAGACAGCAGAGGAGATGGAAGATACGGAAGAAGATGGAGACGAAGGAGAAGAAGCGGCCGAGGAGGCCGGAGCTTGTCAAATTCATGTTGGCAGCGACAAGGAAGGGACGAAGAACACATACCGGGCGAACCACCTGCCGCGTTCGACAGCTGCGCGAAACCCACGGCTGGAGGGTCGGCGCGGAAGACGGTGTAGACGTTTTTCTGCGCGTTAGTCGTGTAAGTTAGTCGGAGCTTTAGGGCACGGGGTCGGTTGGCGCTTATAAAAGTCAGTACTGACCAGGAAGGTATCACCGACGACCCACACGGGGTTGCCACCACCGCTGCCGACATTCGAGCCCAAATTGAGGTCGAAGATACCGCCCAAGCACATGTTCCCTGAGACCGCGCCGAGGTTCATATCCGCATCGCTAACGGGCCACGCCTTGCCACCGAAGGCGAGCGCGACGTCAAGCTTGGTGTCGCAAGCTGCAGAAGTGGGTTTATTCAGTATACAGCATCCGAAGAACGGATCATATGCGTAGCACGCTTTTTATGTGGAAGTTCGAATACTCACGGAATGCGTAGAATCCTTCCATTTGGCCCTTGAGGGGCTGTGAGCCGGAGATTGCGCTATATATAGCGGCGACGCCATCGGATGGACCGCCAATGAGGGTCGTGCCAGTGTCGATTGCGGAAGCCGCAGCGCTCCCTGTGGGCAGCGAGACAGATTTACCCTGCACGGTCGCACCTGATGGAAACAATCATGTCAGACTCAAACGTATCGCCGCTGTCGAGACAGCGTCTCACGTGGTGGGAGGAATGTACGCGAATGGGCTGTGCATACCTGAGAGCTCAAGCATCCAGAATGAGAGGTCGTTAGAATTGGCAAGTGTGTTGAACTCGACGTCGCCGGTGAACAAGGAGCTGTTCTGGCCCCCAAGCGTCATTACTCCTCCATCCGTCTCCTCTGGCGGGTTCGCATCGTCCACATGGCGCGCGAGCCAGAACGAGAACTCGGGACTCGAGAACTGGTTGTTGTTCACGAGTTGCTGCCAGAACGGCGTCGCCTGTGTTGAGGCGAGGGATTGGAAAGCGAGGCCCATGATGCCGGAAACATCACCTTGGAGGAGCCCGGACGTCATGCCCTCGACCACAAGGAACGGTTGGGGGTTCACAGTGAACCCGGCCATCGAGACAGTGTCCTGCGCGAGGGTACCCTGTACTGAGCCACTGCCATAGCTTATTGTGATTTCTTGACCTTGACCCAAAGAATCAGTGATCTCCTTGATGGTTGAGGATTGGGTAGGGTCGAAGGGAGGCGTTTGGCCGCATGAGAAACAGTTCGTTCCAGCAACCCAGAAATCGGAGGAGCCAGTATCTAGGACAACCTTGAAACTTTGGGCCGGGCTGCCAACGGTGACCTGGCCAATGTATGACGAATCTGCTTCCTGAGGCCCTCATGTTCGTAAGGTTCTGAAAGGGTGGCTCATATTGTACTACAACGCACCTGGTCGATGATGCTGACCCCAACGGTTTGCCCTGCCCGCCTTGTGTGGCTCGAGTTTTTGGTAGGGAAACCATACTTCTGGCGAATGAAGTCGGCGTGCGCAGCGAAACGTTCTATTGGGGCATTGCGGCGTGCCGATCGGCGTGTGAGCGGGACATGGAGAGGCGGGGGAACGAAAGTGGGCGTAGCAACAGCAGCGACAGCGAGCGAGAGCAGAGACAAGAGCGTAGACGGGACCATGGCAGAAGGGGAGAAGGAGAGGACGCGCTCAGCGCCGCAGTCGAGACGGTATAAGAGAAGGAAAGCAAGGGCGATGGAGCCGCTGTGCAAGGCCAGGGAACCGTGTGCTTGCGACCTCGAACAGGCCCGGTCCCACAGTCGCCTATTGGCTGACACGGACGCCAACACTCAGCTATATGTCCCGGGATTCAGTATGTCTCCATCCAGGGAACTCGGGCGACGAACAAGTGTTGCCTGACTGCTGCGCACTCGGAGAATTGGAGACGATCCATCCGTCTGCTGCGGCATCTTGCATGCATGTGTCATGTTCAGAATAGCTCGTCCTCCAGCTCTTCAGCCGCCCTGGCCTCCGCTCACCTATCCACCTCCCACCTCGGCGCATCCAACAACCTTCTCCGTCGACGCAGTCATATCCCCAATGTCGCACTTGTCCTTTACTCGTTGTCCCCATAAGAATGCTTGTTCGACCACCCGAGCGCCTGAGGCCGCCGATATCAACGTCGTATTCCAAGGAACTCAGACAGCCGTGCTCGATGATCAGTATAACCTAGGGTTCCGCTCACAGTGCAGCTTAGATTCATAGCAGCGTGGTCCTTGGAGTGCTTAATACTTTGCATAATTTAAGCCAGTGCAGCTCAGTCGCGATAGGTTTGAGCTCCAACTGCATGCATGTGGGGGCGCTAAGTCTTTTCGTACGCTCAAAGGACTTCCCTCGAGGGTCCCGGGTCTATGTATGGTCCTGGCCTTCTCGGAAGTCGTCAAGGTTCCAGGACCGAGGTGTGCGACAGCATCCTGTGCCACGACCTTCTTACCGACAGTGCAACGTCTCACCGTCGACGACGTATTCTGAGAAGCTGCATGAAGAAAAGAAGGCCATCGACCGCTGGATGTCTTCCCAGGACTGACCTGTTGGTATGCCAGTGGCCATGAGAACCCTGACAAAGATTGCAGTACTGCGACGCGACTCTTCCTCCTGACAGTAGGCTAGACGTGATGGTGATATACCCATGCCCATCGTGGACAAACAACATCTGAGGGGTATGTAGAGTAGAGGACGCACGAACTCATTGCTACGAGACACGATGACGACACCGGGATTCAATGGACGAACGCACATAAGTACAATGTGACGATTAACAAGCGATGAAGGAAAGTAATAGCGATGCGATGTGCACAATGCATATGACGAGGGCAAAACGAACGGTATGATGTTTGGCTACAAATTGATCACTAACGTCAATGTGAAATGGAGGCATAGAGGGAACATATCGAAGCGGGAAAGCAGGTGGGAAGAATAGCAGATGTGTAATGAAAGTTTTAGAAGACGTCGAGGGAATGGGGGCAGTTTGCAGCAGTATGTCCGCGCTCTTCACAGTCCTCACAAATCAGCTCGGCGCTATCGTGCAGAGTGCTGCTCATGATGCCTGCGCTCGGCGGCGCAGCGCCCTCCTTCAGCAGGTCGCAGGTGAAGATGTCGTGGCCAGGCCGTTCGCAGATCTCGCACACCTCACTGCTCTGGCCGAGGGTGGAGGACATGGTGGATGCAACAGATGGAGGGCGTCCAGCTGGATCATCGGGGAGGGGAAGGTCTGTCTTGGAGGATTTCTTCTGACTGCGAGAGAGCTTGTCTTTGAGTCGTTCGATTTCGCGCTCAAGCTCATCTTCACGATAGATCTACGAAGAGCCAGTTATGAGCCGGTGATGGACTTCATGCCAGCGTGCTGTTTACCTTCGACTCTATTAGAGACTCGAGTTCGCCGATCTCCTTGTTCAACTGTAGCGAGGGTCAGCACTGAGATTAGACAAAACGCTCTGAACATGACGCACGTCATGCATCTGGCGTGCACTCTTCATTTCGACATCCGCAAGCTTCTTGCGAAGCTGCTCTACCTCAGTCTGTCCAGGATGGTCATCATACAGCCGTGGGATCTCAATGTCACCCTAGTCCATACCTCATACTTGGACTTGAGGTCCTTGTAGCTACGCTGAAGTGCCTGTATATCGTCCAGCGAAGGCGTTGAAGGCGATGGCGGAGTCTCGCCCGACAGCATCGCCTCCTCACGTGCAAGGCTTCTCTCAACATCTTCCTCGAGCGCTTTGAGGTCCTGCAAGAAGCTTAAGTCAACTGTTTGCTGGCGATGATCGAAGACTCAAAGCCTACGTCGCGAAGTTGCTCCGTCTCTGACAGCAAGAGCTTGTTTTCAGACTCAAGGACCTTGCATCGTTGCGCGGACGCGGCGTTCTCCTTTTGCAACTCCTGAACGATATGCCTGTCACGCAGTCATGAACGACGTATCTCGTGGATAGGTAAACAGAAGCACTAACTTGAGGCCAGTGATCTCGTCTCGGGCCACGGCCAGATCGTGTTTGGAGGAAGGCGATACTGGAGCCTTGAGCTCGTAGCCGTTCACGGATCCCTCACGGTTGAGCTTCTTGCGGATCGTGTCCAGCTCTGCTGTCCGCGAATTCGCCAACGCACGCAGTTCCTCGACGATGGCACGCTCGTCTGCAAGCTCTGTTTGAGTACGCCGAAGCGACTGTTGCAGCTGAAGAGAGGCGAACTTGGATCAATGACTCGGCCTAGAGCAAGAAGATTGATGTAACTCACCGTTATCCTATCCTCCTGGAGCGATCGTATCTCGTCCTTGAGAGCCAGCAAACCGCTGTCACCAGACGTGTCAGTCCTGGTCTGCGCAAGTTGCTGCTTGAGCTCCGTGATTTCCTCCTGGAGCTTAGCGCGCTCAGCGTTAGCACGAGGTGCTAGCTCGCTGAGCTTGTCGGTTGAGTTGTTCGCGGTAGCCGCCGCAAGGCCCTCGAGATCCTACGGCGCACAGCCACGCAATCCATGTTGAGCTGCACCGCATTAACGACAACACACGAGCAATGCAATCTCACCGCAATCTCGTTTCGGAGCGTCTCGATCTCTGCTCGCGCGTTCTCCAGCGTGACAGTGTTCTCGCGAAGCGCCTCCTCAAGCTCTTCAACACGGATCCGCGCCTTCTCCTCTGCCTTGCGCACACGCTCCGTCTCTTGACGACCCTCCGCGAGTTCCTTGCGGATGGTGTCTTCACGCTCCTTGTAACGCTTGATACGCTCGCGCACCGCGGTGTCCTCGCGCTCGTTCGTCGCCCGCATGTCCTCGAGCGTGTCCTCAAGCGTGCCGATCTTCTTCTGCAGGTGCTGCACTTGGTCGCGGAGCATCTCATTGTCAATCTCAGCAGCGGACGCGGCTTGCCGCGCGACGGTGCCAGGCGAGACAGGTCGGGCTTGGCTGCGGAGTTGCTCTTCTAGGGAGACGATCAGATCTTCCAGCTCGTACCGCTTGGTGTCTGCAGCACTGAGGCGCTCCTCGTAGAGCGCGATCGTTTCCTGCCCGCACTAGCATGAACACCCCTCCGAGCACACGAACGCATGTTCGACCCACCTGACCAGCCCTCCTGAGTTCCTCTACCTGCCCACCAAGCTCCCTCCTCTCCTCCTCAAGCTCGGCAGACACCTTCTGCACGCGCGCCTCCAGCAGGGCGATCTCCGCGTTCTTCGCTTTCAGCATCCCCGCGCTCTCGCTCTGCTCGCCCTCGCGCGCCTCGACCGCCTGCTTGAGCTGCACAATGAGCGCCTCCCTGTCCTCCAGCTTGCTCTGCACGTCCCGCAGCCGCGCCTCCCCGTCCGCGCGCACCTTCTCGACGTCCCGCGCGGCCTGTTCTACCGCGCGCTGCAGCGCCTCAATCTGCGCCTCGCGTTCGCTCATCGCCCTTTCCGCGGTGCGCGAGACCGTCTCGAGCTCGGAGACGCGCGCGACGGCCTGATCGCGCTCCGCGACGAGCCCCTCGATGCGCGACGACGCCTCGCGCTCCGCACCGCCCGCGCGTGTGCGCAGGCGGGCGTTCTCGTCCTCAGCGGCGCTCAGACGTGCTTGGAGGCGCTCGAGCTGATTGTGGAGGTCGAGCGCCGCTGTGGAGTCGGAGGTCGAGACGCGTGAGTCCGGGCGCGGGCTCGAGGGAGTCTTGCTCGACATGAGGCCGGAGATGCGGTCCTGGATCGCTTTCGCGTTCGACTCTAGGTCTGTGAGTGCGAGAGGCGGGTCTACGGGTGTCAGGGGCCCGTTCAGGGAGACGGACCGGCTCGACACAGTCGTGTTGGATGGGGAGGGGGGTGGTGGCATCGCAATGGCGCTGGGTATCCTCGCCCGAGGCGTATTGCTGAACGAGGGACGTGACTTGGACGGCGTCGTAGACGTGGGCAAGCCCATCCCGATGCCAGAAGGTCGGGACGCGCCTAATGCCTTCGGCGTGCTGAACGGGGAGGCAGGCGTGCTCCGAGTCGGTGAAGTAAGCTGTCGGGTAGGCTGCACTGGGGAGCCGAACCCTGTCGATCTCGAAGGACTGGTCGAACCTGCCGCTCGCACCGGACTTTGTGGTGTCCGTGAGAGCTGTTTCGCGGTCATCCCAACGTATTTCGCAGCACGCGATCCCGGTGTGATATTAGTCGGTACATTTGTGGTCCGTCCTGGGGTGACTAGGGTACGAGTTGTCGTCGCTGACGGTCGCGGGCGCGCGGAGGGTGTTTGGAGACTGGGAGTTTTCCGCCCTGTGGAAGCAGCGGGGGTCACTCGTCCATTGCTGATCGACGGCGTTACCCTACCGTTTCCTATTGATGGCGTTACTCTTCCATTCGATATGGACGGAGTCTTTCGGCCGTTCCCGAAACCAGAGGGTGTTATCCTACCGGAAGCTGAGAGAGAAGGGGTCATGCGACCACTACGTGTCGAAGCAACGGAAGATGGTCGTGAATGGGAGATTCCGACAGTAGGGGCAGAGAGCTTCGTTGACGCCACAAAAACTCCACAGTTAGGCGGACAACTGAAATATTGTTTACTTGAGGACAACAAGAGTTAGTCCACGCTTCACGGACAGATGTAAAGGACAACAAGAGTGTGAGTGAGGGTCTCAAAAACGCGTCTAGAAACGCGTATTTCTCATGATGTCCCCCTGCTCCGCCGTTGTTACCTGGCGCCAGCAGGCCGCCAAAACGGGGCGCATTCTGCCATTGACGAATACGGACCATTGACGATGCAGCTCGAGACCGACTCACCCGGCAACGCTACCGTTATTCTTGCCCTTCCCGACGAATCCGCCACAGAGCTCGACGCCGGCCCACATGCCCGGCTTTCCCTCGATCTCGCCGAGATACCTGAGCACACCCTCGAATCCGAGAGACTCGATCCGCACATTGTCTCCAACGTCGAAAGGCCTTCCTGTACGGCTAGCGCTCCTGGCAAACACGTCCGATGATCTACTGGGAGGCCGCACGACTCCTGTCTTCGCGGATGGGGTACGTCCTGCAGACGAGGCGGAGGACGCAGATGAGGATGACCGAACGCTTACACTCGCGCCGAGGTTAGTCGAGCGAGCGCCATTCTGACTGAAAGCGAGTCCTAAACCTGAGATGGAGGCAGACGAGGTCGCCGGCGAGATGGAGGACGCGAAGCTAGAAGGGGGGGCTTCGCTCGCGCGTGAGGCGCGATGAAGCGCGGGGTCGTTTGCACGGATGGCGTCCTGGAACGCCCTGGCCGCGTACTCATCCTCCCGGTTGCTCACGGACGGCCGCTGACCGGCAGAGGAGGTAGATCGGGGCCTGAGGCCAGGTGTTGGGATGCCAGTGCCGCCAGGCTTGCCTGGAGTGGGGATACCGGAGACGCGGCCTTTACTGGGAGTGACGGACATGGTGGTCGTTGTCGGGAAACATCTAACGGTGCAGACCGAGCTCCTGAGCGGGTGCAGCTAGATATTTTTTGTCAAGCAAAGAAGGCAGGTCAGGGAAACTGCACAAGAATGTCTAACTCGAATGAGCAACCATCGCCTTGGCGCTATCACTACAGCGCACCGCGGGGTCCTCTCTCATAGACAGATCTGCGGTGTCAAGAGTCCTGGCTGTGTGTTCAGTGCGAGCGCTACAGCACTCTCGTGTCGTTTACAGCCACGGTCCTCTTGAGGCTGCCGGTCTTGTGAGCGCATTCCTATGATCTATCATATCCGTGTACTGAAGGACATTTAGCAGTTCGATACGAATATGCCGCGGATACCGCCCTCGCTCGCCCGCCTGCTCTCCCGGCCGCCAACCTCACCGACGGCGGTACCACGAGCAGCGACCTCCGTCTCCTTCACCTCGTCCCTCATCCCCTTCAAGCCCATCCTTCCCTCCTCCACCCCGACGTCCTCCCTGTTGCGCTCACTACCCACCCTCCTGACGCGCCTCAACCTCGTCTCCTCGACGCTCTCGCCCATCTTCTCTCCTCTAATGCAGATTCGGCACAACACGAAGGGCCAGGAGTACCAGCCGTCCCAGAGGAAGCGCAAGCGCAAGCACGGCTTCCTCTCTCGCAAGGCCACAGTCAACGGGCGCAAGATGCTCGCACGGAGACGGGCGAAGGGCAGGCTGTTCCTCTCGCATTAACGTGTAGCGGCCTGGGTCGTAAGGTGAGCTCGTACGCGGTGATGTGTCTTCCCCCTTGCTGATCGGTTTCCGTTACCTGCTTATCAGCTTTCCACGTATAATACTTGTGCCATCGTAGAGCTCGTGCAATACCTTATCAGTCCTACATAACAGTACACGGTCTACTCCACACGGCGTGCGCACGAAAGCTTTGCCCGGGAAAACTCGTCAAAGCAGCTAATCGAATGTACAGCCGGTTTCAGCTCGCTTGTCGTGAGAGCGCCGCGCCGCGTCTCGCGCATTTGCCTGTTTTCCCCTCCTAAGCGCCCCCAAAGGAACTTCGGACGACGATATCTCCTCGACAGCTCAGTGTAACCACCTCATTCTTACAGATTCCGGCTCAGGATTACGACGCGCAGGGCACGGTATTGGATTGAAGTCACGCCAACCCGATGTCATCAGATTTTGGGCATTATCCTGCTCTTCCAACTCCCTACTGGATTCGGACAGCGTTGTTGGCTGAATGGCATCGTGTACTCTTCCGGAAACAGTTGCCACAGGGTGGGCTCAGGTGGCAGCCCTCTTGGGCCAGCTCAAACTCCTCGTCGGGGAGCACTAGACACCATGAATTTGTGAGTTATCTGCACCTCCATAATCTTTGTGGTCTTGCAAGGCGTCGGGGGGCATGTAGTCACTGCTGAGTAGGAGGGAGGAACAGACGAGATGGGTAGATTGGAACTGCAAAGGGGAGCTTGTAGAAAACTACAATTGGCAACCGGTACAATTGCAACAGTTTGTAGGCTTACAGTGGACATATGTGACATGTTTCGTAGCAGATATGTGTTGGATTTGACGATATCCGACAGAGTGGTATACTAGGCATGTGCGAGAACAATTCGTAGAATGGAGAAAACGTACATCACGGACTCTTCTGCACCATATGCCCTCCGTGACATTGGCCAACAGCTTCCGGTGAGCCTTCCAGGTATCCCCAGGGGTTGTTTAAAGATATATGCGCGACAGATGCCGAAGACAGCGTGAAATTGACGGAAAGCAGGTGGATCGTCCGTTAAACGAGTTGCTAACCTGAAACCAGTACCGTGCCATGCGCGTCGTAATCCTGAGACAGACTACGCAAGAATGAAGTGGTTACATTGAGCTGTCGAGGAGATATCGTAGTCCGAAGGTCCTTTGGGGGCGCTTAGGAGGGGAAAACAGGCAAATGCGCGAGACGCGGCGCGGCGCTCACACGACAAGCGAGCTGAAACCGGCTGTAGTGTAAGCATTCAGTCGTAGCCTGTGCACTAACACAGCAGGATACGACACGGAACGAAGGGGCCTCACGCATGCAACACGCCCGGCTTGGAGAACAACGGCTCAACCTTGACAGGCTGGAACCCTTCAATGGCAAAGACCTTCCCGTCGCTCTCTGACTCGTCCACGACGAGCACGCTCTCGTCCTCCTCGCGCATGGGCGACAGCGGCGTGCTGCCGTGCATCGAGAGAAACCCGCGCTGGATAGACGCGACGAGCGCCGAGATCGGCGTCTGCTCGACCTCAGCCATTCGCCTACCTTGGGGCCGCTCTTCCCGGGTGGGCGTGCTTGGCTCGGTGACATTGACGGACGGGACGACAGGAATTGGCGTCAGTTCGCCTGGTGTTTCCGCAGGGAGAGGAATTTCTGCAGTATTGGAAGTAGGGTCCAGAGAAGTAAGAACAACGTCCGCAGGAGGGGGAGTAGCAGCGCGCTCCGGCGCCGCGGCAGGCGCGTCCTGCTTGTCTGGGGTGTCGAAGGAGATCAGTGGTGGGGGAGAGGCTTCGCAGGGCGGAGCAACAGGAGCAAGCTTGGGCGATTCCGGGAGAGGCACCTCGACTGGGGACACCGTCTCCGTTGCTTCCGGCACTTCAGGTGACGAGCGTGGTGGCTTCGCGGGTGCCTTCTGAGTCTGAGAGTCTTTCGTGGAGGGCTTGGCGGGATCAGCCTTCGACTTCGACAAAACACGATTTGCCCTGTCCCGTACGGTAACAGACGTCCCGGGTCCCGGACGAGGCGCTGCTGACGGCTTGAACGGTACCTTCGTCTTCGGCTTGTCCTTGTCGGCCGCCCTCTCCTGCGCCTTCTCTGGCGCTCGGGCCCTCGAACCGGCAGTGGCCTGCATCAAGGTTGCCGCCGAAGCCATACGACCGAGCCTCGCCGCAGGTGCCGCGGTCGCAGCTGCGGTCGACACTCCGCCGCGTGCGGATGCACCGACGGACGACGCGAGCTTCTTCACGCGAGCAGCATCCTCCCTGGCGAGCGCGGACTGCAGCGGGATTGCGGGAGTCGACCTGCTCGTGGAAATGACTCTGGTGCGGACGGGCCTCGACGAAGCCGCCGCCGCCGCCGTCTTGCCCTTCTCGTCCGCACCCGCATGCGGCGCGGGTTCGACCGCCTCAGGCATGCGGAGCACCCTGCGCGCGCCCCCGACCACGCGTTCCTTCTTCTCCTCCATGCCGTCGTCCAGCCCCGCCGACATTTTCGTGAACAACGCCGGCCGGATCGGGCCCGTGCGCGCCGCGTTTGTCGCGGACGAGCCCCCGGGCTGGGCAGCGTCCGGTCGGATGACGCGCTGCGGGCCAGAGGGGGGTCGCTCGGCGCCCGTGTGGTGCGCGGGGAAGTGTAGCTCCGTGGCGGACATCGGTCGCTGGGGGCCTGTGTCTGCGGAACGGGCCGGGATGTAGTCTGGGGGAGGCATGTTGACCTTCAGTCGCCGCGGCTCTTCGCGCGCCGGTCTGCGTGCGCCCTCGTTCGTCATGGGCGGCACGTGGAAGTCTGGGGTAGGGGCGCGGGCGGGTCGCTTGGGCGCGGTTTGGGTAGTGGCTTGGGAGGCGGACGCGGAGCGGATGTGCTTCGTGGGACGCTGAGCGGTTGCGTCTGTGAGTGAGGACGGATGCGAAGATGAAGCGGGGATAGGGTGTGTGTCGCTGTGGTTTGAGCGGACCGACTGTGATGACGTCGGACGGGACGATGATTGAGACCTGGGGGCTGCGGTGGTAGTCTTGATGTCGAGGTACTTGCGTGTCCTCGGTGTGAGTGGGTCGGTGAAGCTGCTCCAGCAGATGCCATGAGCAGCTAGCTATGCGAGTCAAGCCAGAGACGAACACACCTCTGGAGCCGCCTAGGCAACAATATCTTGTACGCGTCGAAGATCTTCCGCGCGACCTTGCGCACGTCCGCGTTCGCATCGACGGCCGTCGCTCGAATTGTCGCTTCAATCTCCTTCGCTCGCGACTCCTTCTCTAGGTCAGGCGGGTTGAAGCTCTTGAGGCAGAGCAGCATCGTCTCCGCGGCAGCCAGCCGCAGAGAGATGGACTTGTCACTGATGGACTGGAAAGAGTAGTGGATGATCGTGATAGCTTGCGTGTGCTCGACGAGGGCAGCAATGCACGCCTTGGCACGGTTAAGGAAGACCTTGTTGGTGCGCGTGCAGAGGGTGAAGAGAGCCGGCAGATAGTGGGGGATGAGGGGCTCGAAGCCGCTGCCGAGCGCGGTGACGGCGGTGGTTATGAAGTCCGTCGCAGTGCCAGATAGCCGCGTGCGCTCGGAGCTGAGTGCGGAGGTGATGGGGCGAAAGGAGGCTCGAAGAGCTGCGACGAGGTCTGCGGGATAGGTGTTGGCATTGCCGTTACAGAGGGCGGCGAAGCGGCTGAGTGCGTTCGCGATTGAGTCCCACGATTCCTCGGTCTCGGTGACAGACAGCGCATCTTGTATTGCAGCGAGTTCTTCGATGAGGTGGGATAGGGAGTAGCACTGTGCGACGGACGCGTCTCAGAGTCAGACTCAGACATGTTCAGTTACGGCCTCGGATAGAAAACCGACCTCGATGGATGTCAAAGGGGTTTTGGAAGGCATGTACTTGACAAGGATTTGCAGAGAGGCTCGACCAGCAGGAGTGGAGCAAGCAGGAGTGGTGACAAGAGGAAGAGTCGCCAACGACAATTGTCGCAGCTCGAGGCGCGCCACCATGTTCGATACACCTACTCACGTGATCGTGGCGCCGCACATAAGTAGATGCACCAGCGTCGGCGGAGATCGCCAACCATGCAGTGCACGAGTGTGACACTGCTTTTGGTCAAGCAACACTTCCCGGTCATTGGCTTCGTTTGCATACCCCCACATGGTCTGAAAGTATCGCACGTAGCATACAAGCGGAGGTAAACTCCGGGTCTTAGACATCCCGGATACCCCATAGATAGGTCACGACACACCCGTGCTGCCTATCGTCGAGATTGTTCTTGTCTGTGATTTGTGCAGCTTCGCTGTTTCACACGATATCCGCAATGGTCCATCTTCTCGGTCGGCGCGAGGATCCGTGCTGAGTGTGGGACTTCAGGAAGACGGTACCTGTTGCTTGCGTATAAATACCACATATCCCATCGTCTCATTCGCATCGCCCAACTCCTGAAGCAGATCTCTGCTTGCTCCAAAATGGACACGTTCTCACGACTTTCCTCAGGAGGGTACTCCCTGGCCGGCACGAGCGTCATCAGCACTGTAGATATGCATACAGGAGGACAGGTGAGAAGCAGCAATGGCTTTGACGTTGTATGGTATGCACATCAGATTCACGGCGGCAGCCAACACGAATCATCGTGCAAGGATATCCCTTCTTGGAGGGTGATACTCTGCTAGAGAAGAGACTGTACGCGAAGGAGAAGGTAGATGGACTGCGGCAAAGGTACATAACCACGCGCGAGCTCATACGCAACGCCATCTTGACAAAATGAGTCGCGAATGCCTGCAGATTGATGCGGGAACCGAGGGGGCACAAGGAGATGTACGGTGCGATCCTCGTTCCGGAGACGGAGAAGACGAGATGTGGGGAGGCGGATATAGGTGTCTTGTTCTGCCATAACGGTACGTAGGGTGGCAGCGCAACCTTACCGCTGACCCACAGCCCAAACGCAGAGGGGTACTCTACGATGTGCGGGCATGCCACCATCGCGCTCGGGCGATTCCTCATCGACACGCAAGATGAGGCCGTGTTCCCGCGGCGCAAGCAGGTAGCATTCGACGCGGCCAAGCGGGAATACAAGCTCCGGCTGCACGCGCCGTGTGGGGTCGTGGACGTGACCGTGCCGAGTGTGCTCGAAGACGACGGACGGGTGCGCTCGGATCCCGAGCGCGAGGTGCAGTTCGTCAGCGTGAGGAGCTTCACGGCAGCGACGGACGTGGTGATCGAAGTGCCCGAGGAGCGACTGTGGCCCGCGCTGCGCGGCAGCGGACGACGCGCGGTCAAGGTGGACGTGGCGTACGGCGGAGCATTCTACGCGATCGTCCAGGAACATGAGCTGGGCTTCGGACGCGTCAGAGACGGTGGCGTCGAGTTGCAGAAGCTGAACGAGGCGACCGCGGTAGTCAAGCAGCTGGTCGGTGCGAGGAAGGAGCTGTTCCAGGGCCTGGGGCTCGAGCGCGACCTGGAGTACCTGTACGGGGTGATTGTCGTCGAGGAGGGGGAGGGCCGGGCAGGACTGGGCGGGCTGGAGGGGAGGCTGGGCGTGTGCTTCTTTGCAGACCAGCAGGTGGACAGGTCGCCGACGGGATCGGGCGTCTCTGCGCGCGTGGCACTGGCGCGCGCGAAGGGGCTGCTGGGCGCGGGGGAGCGGGTGCGGTTCGACTCGGTGCTCTCTGCGCGGCGGGGCAGCGAGGCCGGGGCGTTCGTCGGGAGCGATGCAGGCGCGGGGAGGGTGCGCGTCGAGGGCCGGGCGTTCTACACGGCGGCGTCTGCGTTCGCGGTGGAGGACGACTTCTCGCGCCAAGGCTTCCTTCTCTGACGTAGCGTCGCCGCGCACGACCCATGATGTCATCGTCTACGCCTACATAAACCCCGTCGTCCTGCACACACTCTCTCTCGCTTCTTTCCCCGCTACTTGCTCTTCGTTGCCAACCATGTCGTACGCATCCGTTGCTGCTCACAATGCCCCGCCCCCTTCTCAACAGGTATCTGCCTCCTAGACATCCTCCGCCTTGGGAAGGCCCTAACCTTCTGCATCAGCCCCACCCGGACCCTGCTCTCCTCACCACCGAGCCTCCGAGCGCAAGCAACATCGCAGACGACGCCGCAAAGGTCAACATCGTCTCGCCCGACTTCAAGCGTCACCCCGCAACGAATACGTCCGTACAGGACATCCCCTCGGACGTCTCCACTCCTGGTGGCCAGCCAAGCAAGCGTCGTCGTTACCGCGACGAGGTCGAACAGGAGGGACTCTACCTCTATAACCTCGCAAAGCAATATATCCTCCACCCTGCCGTCGCCGGCGGTCTTCTAGGCCTCGGTATGTATCTCGCACTCTTCCATCCGTGCGCCTGAGATTGAATTCTCCGCCTTGTAGTCAACATTGGCTTGATCTCGGGAGCCGCGTACAAGTTCTACAACGACCCTTACCTCAGGCGCGATACGCGTGCTATCGTATCAGCCGTCGCCGGTGCTTTCACTTTGTTGGGCGTGGAGGGCTACGCCGCCGAGAAATACCGCGAGACGCCCCGGGGCCAACGCGAAGCTCAGAAGGCCAAGAAGGAGGGTGCCGCACTCTACCGTACTGCACGCGAGTATATTCTCAGGCCGGGTGTCCTCGGTGGCCTCCTCGGTGTCGGTGAGTGTCAATTATACGCCCGTGTTGAGAGCGGGTCTACAATGTTACTGTAGTGAATGCTGGTGTCCTTGGCACTGTGGGATACTTCTCGTGGAAGAACTGGGATAGGCCATCTTGGGACAGGCGTGTCGTCTCGGCGGTGACCGTTGGCCTGCTCACTCTTTGGGGCAGTGAAGGGTATGTTTTCCAGCATGGTCATCGTTACCTCCTCTAACGACAAGGCTCGCAGCTTCATTGCCGAGCGTTACCGCACCACTCATCATTAGGGAACCTGAAGGGACACTGAGGGAGGCTGTTCTCGAAGATAGTGGACACCGCTCACTTTACAAGCCCATATTGTATTGCTAGCTTATTTCTTCATGCTTCGCTACAATCACCCTTCATACTTATGTGATTTGTATGAACACGTACTTGAATTGACGTCGTGGCAGACATGGGCGTCTCAAGATGATTTTAAAGAGAATCGCGCATGAAACGTAATCCCCACTGGCAGTGAGAATCGACATGGGCTTAGCTGTATTAGGTCGATTAGTACTGTATCTAGTAGGGAACCCCGACCGTAATCCCAATTCTGCTGATTTCCCTACTTTGGCTGTATGCGGTTGGATAAGGTGGTATGGTCGCACAATGCTATACAACCATACGTCGGGTCAGCTACAGTGACTGCCGAAAATAGTGCACCGGCGCTTCGCGCGAATGAAATCTCTGTACGACGGACGACCTGTGCTATGTTTTGGGCTGCTTATTGTACATCTATGTAGCCACACAAGTCTTGATATCATGCAAAGACTCTCGCGACAAACGGCGCAGGATTGCCCAGGTTATTTGAGTGACATTGGACAGACCCCAAGTTAGAGGTACGTATCAAGGTGGTAACGAGCGACGAAAGTTAACCGTAAGTCTACAAAATCTCGATGCTAAGCCTAGTAGCGTGTATGCAGTCCATGAGCAGCCTTGAGAGCCTCAACACGATGGGGAATGGAATCGTACAGCTTCTGTATATAACCAGTATCAAGCCCATATCATTCCTCCTGCAAGGCAGCCCATAACTCATCAACATTCCGGGGGAGAGGGGAACGACGGTGTAGAAGTTCGAGGGCAAGCGGGCACAAATGGGATTCGCGTTTGGCCGGTGCAAACGCGTGCC